AGTATGAGACTTCCTAGTGGTGAGCAATCATTATCCAAACAGAGACGGAACGCGGGAACTTCATATTTTTCCGCAAACAGGTTGTCTTTGAGCCCCTGAACAGGGGTTCAACGGCTCCCAAGTTCGATTTAGTCCGCTCTAACACTATTCAATTGCATAAAAGGATGCACGGGCAATTTCCCTCGGAGAGCATTGCTTCAACATCTAACCATAACTTGCTTGGTGCGAACGCCTGTATGTTTCAAAAAAGTTCTATTATTCTTGAGGTGGAAATCAAATCAGGTGCAGCATGACATTCAACTTTCTCGCACCCTCAGAAATGCACAGTGGTAGCATTGGGTGAAAAGGCTAAGGTCGTTTCTCTGGAACTGTTTCTGAAATGTGTTTTACCTCTAGAGCTGATGACCAAGTTTATAGCACAACCTTGTTTAGAATGTTCATGAAGTAATTCTTTTCATTCAACTTCAAAAAAGGAAGATTCTAGAAGACGGTTTACAGGGATGAGAATATAGGTGTGTAATTTGGTGGTTATGTCCACTTTGCAGTGACTTGAACCTTAAATTTGGTCTGAATTGATAGTCCATGTATTTATTGCCGAACTTCAGTCAATATGGATGCCGCATGCACCTCATTTGGCTGAGTTTGATATCTGTGTCCTCATGAGACTCACATGGAAGATTGCAGCTCAAGCATTTATTGTCTCCTCTTACTACACACCGAAATAAGAACCTGGCGTGTGGTTTGACATGTGATGTAATTTTGGTGGAAAGACAATCTCCCGGTGTCGAGAGTTCTTCAAGTATCTATTCAAACGTGTTCCCACTTACATATGCATCGTAATTCTCCGCGTACTAATGGTTATTCTCACGGTTTTTCTCAGAGATCGTATGGCATCATATAGCGTTCGAGAAAAAAACAAGCTGTTGTATTTCTCCCTCCACTAGAATTGCCTCAGTGTGTGCACATTTTCGCCGTGTACCATGATCAATATTATTGTAATTCAGGTCACCGACTGTATAGGGATCCTGGCAGGTCAAGCGGATAGACGCTGTCAGTCTATTTGCTGTCCACCAACCAGATACGCCACTATGAAGAATGGCCAGCATGAGTACAGATGGGATTGTCGAAGTGAGAGGTTTTTGCTCAACTGTTCTAGTGTTCTGAATTGTAGATGTCAAATATTTGAAATTGTCTACTGTTTAAACATCGGGGAAGTAATGACTTGTACTAAGCGCAAAAGGTTTTCAAAATTGTTGCCACCTAATTGGCCATACGCTCTAAATGCATTCGATCTTTTAGCTTCGATTGCGGGGCACGGATACCTGAATCCATCTATTTTGATGAAAAATAAAGCTAGAGGATCGCTCATCAACGAACAACATTGGCCATTTAGGTAGTTTTCTCCATTTCATATGGCTTAAAACATACGCGGTTAGCTCTTTGAGCCAATAAATACTTGGTTCGTTTCCCCTGCGGATGCACTCGTAGTTCCAGTCAGCCGAATCGTGTCTTACTGCAAGTGTGATATTCCAATTCCAGTCCTGAGAATTCAACATTTGATGGAGTTATATCAGTCGAACGTGTTATATATTTCATTCCACCAATTCAAATTGTGTTTGCCTCCACGCATAGGTTAAGTTTCAGAGGAACATTTTCTGATTCTGTACGTAGCCTTTTTGAGTGAGAGCAACAGGTCAACACCTTGCTACGCTGCCCGAGAATGGTGATAAGGGTTTGAACGCGTTTCAAACAATATTGTCTGGTGAAGTCAGTAGTTAATTTCACTGCTACTTGTGTCTCATATGGACACAAGTGCCGGCAGAAGACCCTCGTGGTCATCTACGTACAAACTCAAAACATGTTCTTACATAATGTGAAGCCTTACAGCCGGTTACAGGTGAAATGTTCTCATTCGCATTTTCGTTTCCATAACCCATTGCTTATTAAGGTACGTATTGAGAATAATTACTCTGGTTCTATTTAAATTGCCCTAACTGAATGAAGAAATACAGTTCAAGGGTTATTACCCCATTAATTCAGAGGTTTATTTCAAGGAAGTTCGAAAAATAGGAAAGTCGTGTGATATATATATACTCTTCGCAGCACTGGCATACTATCGGCAGTTGTACCTCTGCTACACCTTCAGAGGGGGAAACTCTAGGTTAGTCAAGTAACAACATTCCATGCTTTGGGAAATTCGCCTCGTGTTCGGGTTTAATTGGTTGCATCTGATTCAGGTTGTTAGCAGATAAGCGCACGTAGAAAATCTAACATTTGTAAAGTCTTTTTTGCAGGTGATATGGAACCCGTATGTAAGTGGTTTACCTAGTCCAGCGCAGGCAGCGTTAGTCTCTCAAGTTTCGCTGGAATATGAGTGAAATGGAGGGAGCATGACGTAAGCATTGCATAATAAAAAAACAATAATGGAAACTTCACTCTTAATCCTTCTGCCTTAAGTTCTCCAACATGAACAAACAGAAACTGTGTCCAATCGCAAAGCTAAATGTGAACATCTAAAAGGTTTGCGAAATTTTACGAAAGTTAAATAAAAGTTACCCGCTGTACCGAAGGAGATTCCCAAAGCAACACAGTCTATCGCATCAAAACTAATGCGCTAATATCATTATACGATGCGCACTTTCCACCGCCTCAAAAAGTTCATCAGTGTCTCTCATTCATATACTCTCACTGTTACAAAATAACAATCGTCACATACACGATAACCTGAACCATTAAATGTATCATGATATAAGTTAGTCTTGCCTGAAGATTCAAATTCTTGGAAGAGGTTAGCGCACAAGCAGCTGAAGAGACCGTCTATCTAGAAAAAACCTTTCATAAGTATTTTGAGTTTTGAATAGCGACTTTATATGAATTCAGTTGGCCGTTACTTAATTCTCAGCTGCTGTATACATCTTTTTGACATGCGTAGTCGGAAGGTGGGAAAATGCGTGCCAAAATCTCTATCGCCCACCCAAAGGCCGAATATTTATCCACAGCTGTGTTTAATAGGAAGGTGATGTATGCGTACGACAGCTACTGAGTTGCTACATTTTCAGGTCAGCACCACAGTATACTACAAAAGGTTTCTTCGGGAGCATCCAGCAAATTGTTCGTGACAACGAATCATGTGCTGGTGATCTTTACTGTCATTCAAAATTTCATTTCGGCACTTTTCTAATTTTTAAGCTCCTGTCCGAAATTATGAAATAAAAGCAGCCACAGCAGCGGATAACCTCGAAAAAGTTTAGGCAAGTGAAAGCAAGGCGGTAGGTAGTGCGTAGTCCACTACCAACAATAACCATATTCCTACTATTTACGTAGAAATGTCCATCAAGAATAGTGATTATCACTTCTTGTTGCTTAATTGTCGCCGGTAGTTTTCTTCCTTAGGGAAATTCACCATCATAAATGATAATGTGAAGTCTGTTTAACCACAGAAAGTAATCAGACTCAGAAAGACCATTAGTTGGCCGAGCTCACGAGTCTTTGGCTAACATCTCATGTTGTCTCCAACCACACGGATAAACCAATGATGTCTTGCTTCCCTGCAATGCTTCCCGTTGAGTCACATTTCAATATACGTACCATTGCCATGTAGGCGAGACATTCAAAGCTAGTCACCGAAACACAAACTAAAGCTCCAGCCAGCTAAACATCGGCCAGGATACGTAAATCCCTGTTTCAGTGTCAACGGTGGAGTCATGCAATCGGAAGTTCTTTGCCACTAAACCAGAATGATGGATTTCTGCTACCGAATTTCGAATGGCTTTTATAAAGGGCTGACTAGCTTCCTCTTATTATGTTCGTCAAAAAGTTGGTTTAAAATCTCGTTTGCGGACAAGTCTCGGGCGAACATCATGAAAATGAGCGCCACCATCGGTATGTCTTGACTTCTTCATTCGATCCATCTCGAAAAATCGGTAATCGTTCGCTAGACTACTCAGATCTGAGGAGGGTGTTGTGGCACGTTGACCCCTTATATGTCCCAGGAATTTTCTTAAGGGAGAGCTGATTCTAGGGTTAGGCGGTACCGCGAACTTCATAGTAGTTTTTAGGCAGGAAA